AGTCACAGTTTTCATGAAATGAAAAGCCCTTGGGCTGAGGCTTTGTTTCATTAGCAGTGGATTGTTCAGCCACTAGATGAACATGTTTTCTTTTCATACACTTGTGTATGATTGACCATTGATGTAAAAGAGAATGTGATTTAATGCTCAAGCAGCATAACATCTGGCAGCCATCTTTCTGTGTGCTCAGAAAACAATATATCAGGAGCTTAAAGAGAAGAAAGAGCATTTGCATTTAAAGTGACACACAAAAACTGTTTTTGTTTCTGCCTACAATAGCATTTTGTCTGTGCGTCTATAGCCTTTGTGGTCATGTGTGCTGATGGCTGCACAAATTCAATTCTTTGTTTTATCGGTTTATGTAAAATATATACAAAAGGCAAAAAATAGTATTTTAGTATGAAATTATATATTTTAATACAAATAAAATTAATATATATGATTTGATTGATAAAACTTTTGACTTGCACCTTTAATAATTGTGCTTTCAGTTGTGTTCACACACTCTTGGGTGGTGCTAAGGCAAGGATGGATAACCTCAGTCTTGGAGGGTCTGCAAAGTTTGTCCGAGGTTTTTCATGCCTGCCAGAGAGCTGGGCTGTGGCTTTATGGTATGATGGGCAAATCCTAACCTGCACTAGTAACATTAAGCAAAAAAAATATATAAAAATCATCAGCACTTGTTTTTTTTTTTTTTTTTGTATTTTGAACAGGCAGAAATATTTTTTCACAATTAGCTACAGAACTGTAAAATATCTTTTAATGCAGATATATGAAATATTGAAAATTAAAACTAATTAGAAGACCATATATTAAACTTTCAAATATTGAGTTCAATCCTTTTATAAAACAACAGAAAAACAATATGTGTACATGGATTCAGTAAGCTTCAAAATCTCTTAATGAAATTGCTAGCTCTGAAGGGCAATTCATAAAAGTGGTGGACAACAACTGTTGCTTTCACACTAGATGAGACAGAATCTTATATTCCATTGTTTGTCTATGTGAATGTTATGTGAAAGATTTGAATAACTATTATACACTTTTACTTGCAGCAGCACTCATTAATGTCAGTTCCAAAGCAGTGGACGACTCAAAAGAACTCGTAGTCGGGACGTTTTGCATATGTTGCACTTTTATTGCACATGTTTTTCAGTAGCATGTTGGTATGACAATGTCAACATGGCGGAACCATCTCTGAGCGCAGCATCTTGCATCCTTTTATATGCAGAGATGCGTTCTGTGTGAATGGCTTGTAAGTTGTTGCACTGTTTGATTGGCACATTTGGACTGACTGACTATTCGTTGTCAAAGTGCATGAACTGAACTGTGACCCCTGTACTATAATGATTCGAAAAAATACATGTAATGTCACAGCCCAATTATATCACCAGCCACTTTATTAGGTACACCTGTTCAACTGCTTGTTAACTCAAATTTCTAATCAGCCAATCAGATGGCTGCAACTGCAAGTAGACATCGTCAAGACGATCTGAGATTTTCACATGCAACCATCTCTAGGGTTTACAGAGAATGGTCCAAAAAATATGAGTGGCAGTTCTGTGAGCGCAGATGCCTTGTTGATACAAGAGGTCAGAGGAGAATGGCCAGACTTTTTCAAGCTAATTGAAAGGCAACAGTAACTTGAATAACCACTCGTTACAATCGAGGTATGTAAAAGAGCATCTCTGAATGCACAATGCATTGAACCTTGAAGCGGATGGGCTACAGCAGCAAAAGACCACCCCGGGTGCCACTCTGGTCAGCTTAGAACAGTAAACTGAGGCAAAAATTCACACAGGCTCACCAAAATTGGACATTAGAAGATAGGAAAAATGTTACCTAGTTTGATGAGTCTCGATTTCTGCTTCGACGTTTGGATTGTAGGGTCAGAATTTGGCATCAACAACATGAAAGCATGGATCCATGCTGGATCAACAGTTCAGGCTGGTGTTGGTAATGTAATGGTGTGTGAATCATCTCAGACTGGTTTCTTGAACATGACAATGAGTTCACTGTACTCAAATGGCCTCCACAGTCACCAGATCTAAATCCAACAGAGCACCTTTGTGATGTGGTGGAATGGGAGATTTGCATCATGTATGTGCAGCCTACAAGTCTGCAGCAATTGCTTGATGCTATCATGTCAATATGGACCAAAATGTCTGAGGCATATTTCCAGTACCCTATTGAATGTATGCCAAAAAGGATTAAGGCAGTTCTGAAGGCAAAAGTGGGTCCTACCCAGTACTAGTAAAGTGTAGCCAAGAAAGTGGTCAGTGAGTGTATACACACACTTTAGGGGCCCCCAGAGTCACTATTAGGGGGCCCAGGGCCACGACCATCAACCCCCAAGTGACACCACACCCCCAACCCCACCCACTCTTCTTTTTTGATGGACAAAGGGTAAACATAAGGTGAATAAATAGCGAACCCCTGCCGAATAAACCTAGCCTTGGTGGGACTGAAAAAAAGTCCCGCACAGACATGTAGGCTATAGGTTCATGTCCCTATGGGGTCCTGTGGTCTAGATGATCTGACAAGCCACACCATCTCGTGGACATGTACTATAAAGACATCTTGTAGACAAATGTAGACAATTCCCTCAAGTGAATTTGTCATCTGAAACATGCAGTGAAATGCTGTACCTGGAGCAACATATTTTTGCAAAAATCTAGGGTGAGGCACTTATTTCCAATGAGCCTGGCTAGATTTTTTGTTATAAAAAACAACAACAATTAAAAAATAAATATGGCTCAATAGCAGTGAGACTGGTGTATAGTATACCGCATTGCACATAGGTTTACAGTAGATCTTATCCTTCACAGATAAACACAGCAGTCCTCCATTCTCAGGCACTGCTGGAGCTGGACAGTTTTCTGGAAGTAACTTCTGAAACGCTGAAAAGAAGAAAGGACCTGTTCACTAGTATGACATGCAGTATAAGGATACATGCATGACATGTTATATTTTCATATTTCACATTATAAATTGCACTACAATATATTAAAGTTCTGGAAAATAACCAGAACATGATAGGTTATAACATTGTAAGTAATGTTACTATACCTTTGTTGTCTTGCCTCTGAATGATATCAGTTAATGCTTGTAGTTGATTAAGAATGTTTCCGTGTTGGTATGACGTCCAGTTGTCAGATACAGTTTCCAAACAGTTTTTTATGTTCTATAAAAATCATAAATTAATCTTAACGTTTTTTTTAATTTTTATTTTGTATCTGATGTGTGCCTGCACTAGTCAACAAAACAGCAATACTATTTTATTAACGTTATCAAACAGATACTGTGTTTTAGCTGTAGATAAAATGCTTTACCTGAAGCTGTTTGTCAAGCTGATCAAAAGAAAAGTCAGCGGGAAGGCATGAAGAATGAGATTGTCCATGAGTTAAAGTTGAGAGAAATGCTGTAGAAAAATCCCAAAGACATCTCCTGTAGTGCTGTTCATAGAGACATTACAATCAAAGCATTCCAGCTGTGAAATAATCTAAATTATTCTTACCAAAGAGCAAAAGCTGCTTCCATTTTCTGCCTATTGTTGCAGATTCCATGTTGTTAGTGTTGCTGCTAAAAGCTCTATGCAATTTTTACCTTTAATCTTCTTTTTTTGTGAACATTTATTGCATCAGAGGTTAATGTACCCTCCATTTGTTGACCAAATTACAACACACTTGCCTTGAACAATCAGAATTAGTAATGTTTTGAAAGAGTGGGTTTTCAGTAAGTTGGTCAGACTGTTCAAACAACATGCTGCGTTTTCACTACACAATTAGAAGAGTCAACTCTACTAAACACTATTCGGAATGTAAAGTTTGTAACTTCTGATTTGCTGCTGTATTGATATAAAGCTGTGTTTTGTGCTACTGAATCACTGTTGGATATTTACTCAATCAAGGTCAGTGTTTTAGAGTTAAATCCTGACATATGTGGATTCAGTCCTTAACTGCCTCTGTCAGTCAAGGTTAACATGTTAAATAAATTGAAATAAATTGATTAATAGTAAAAAGACATTGATAATGTGCAACGCCACTACAGGAAGGCACTGGATCATAGGATTATCAAAACGCGTAGATTTATTGATAAACACATGGAATGAATGAACACAGGACATGGGGTGAAAACCGGACGAAGACTGAATGTAACTAAGGGGTATAAATACATAGGGGCATCAAGACATTTGTGCTGCCCTTTACATTACAAAGCATAGGAAAGGGCAAATTCTTCAGCAGGATAGTGCTCCTTCTCATACTTCAGCCTCCACATCGTCACTGAAAGCAAAAGAAGGTAAAGGTCCTCCAAGATTGGCCAGCCCAGTCACCAGACTGAACATTATTAAGCATGTCGGAGTTAAGATGGAGGAGGTATTGAAGATGAATTTAAAGAATCTTAATAAACTCTGGGAGCTAATAAGATATTTGAATCATTGCAGAGATGTATGGATGCAGTCCTCGAAGCTCATGGGAGTCATACACTCCAAAAAAAAAAATAAAATAAATCTTGCACATTCAGACTACTTATTTAAAATGAGCTGAAACAACACAATTCTTGAGATTTCATTGGGACAGCTTAATTTTTTTTATTTAATCTATGTAAATTTGTTAAAAGTCTAGTGTCTAGAATTCGTTATTTGTTCCTAGTTGTAGCCTAGTTCACACTACAGGATTTTAAACATCAGCAGATCGCTGTGCCGTTCACACTACATGACTTGACTTTGTGTCTTTTAATCTCTGTGGTGTTCACACTACGCAACACTCTGTGAATGATCCACAAGAGGGGGGTCACACACTGCATGATCTGACAACTCATTCCCCATCAGCTCATTCAAGCTACCAAACCACAGCCAATGAAATTTTGAGGGAGGAGTCGTCAGAAAAAGCTAAACACTATTGGCTGCTTGTGTGCTGATTACATCACTGACAGCGTTTCAAGCTTTGGAGAAAGCATTTAAAAACATCGTCAAATCAGCTGATGCATCAGCGGATTAATCACTCATCTGCAAGGTTAGAGTGGATAGATACACAGAGAGTTTTAAAGTTTTGTAATTGTATAACTCTTTGAAATAAAACCAACAAATAACACCCTGCCGTTTTCTAACTATCGGTGTATTTCTGTCTGACATTGTTTTTTTTTTTATTATTACAAAACAGTAAAGAACTGAGCATTTCTGCCTTAAATTACCATATTGGTTAAAATGACTGCATGCATGTCTGATACTTTTCGCTGTGACTTTAAATATGTGTGCTTTTTTTTGCCTAGCAACTTCCTGCTAACATGAACAAAACCTTCTGATGGCAAAAACTTCAATTTACTTCAGATATCTTTTAAAACAGCATATTCTGTGCCGTGAAATAGCTCCTGTTTGAAAGTGAAAATGAAAGCCAAGACCTTTGCATGTTCTAGTATCTTAACTAAATATTTTTAGGCTGTATTACCAAAAAAAAAAGATGATATTTTTAGGGTAATGGTGTCATTAAATATGATGCCAGACATTCAAAGCTTAATTTTAATATCTCAATAATAGCTTTAAATATAAATAAGTTGTGACAATATGGCATTTTATATGAGAACGGTCAGAATGACCAGTATGGTAATTCTAATAGTTACAGAATTCTAGTTCCACTGTTAATATAGCCTACTCTCATGTCTGTGTTAACACAGAATGAAGCGAGTACGTTGATGCCCATTCTGACCAATCACAGATGTTTCTGGTGAGCTCCTGAGCACACAGGCATTCAGCTCATGCTGATATGCTCTCTCATTGGCTGCAGCTCGTCACTACATCGGACCACATGTGGGGTTGAGTCGGCCGACTTCTCTGGAATATTCAGCATGCTAAATGTTGGATTTCCGTCTGCGAGGTGTTGGCGACGCGTCAGCGAGCCTCGTTGATGCATTGTTCAGTAGTTCACACATAAAGAGCGGCGAGCACCGTGCACCCGCTGATTTCTTCCCGATCACAGCCTGATCTGTTGGCGAGCTCGTTAACTTTCAAATTGGGCTCAAATCCGGCTTAAAATCCTCTAGTGTGAACTAGGCATTAGGCGACAAGGCTTTTATAAGGTAGTAAATTAATATAAAAGAATATAAATATGTGTGTGTGTGTGTGTGTGTGTGTGTGTGTGTATTAGGGATGGGAAGATTAACCGATATGTATCGATACGCGGTCATGCGCGTGCACGATGCGAGTGCATCGGTAGAGAAGCAGAGAATGAATGAAATTTTGGAAGCAAATCGAGATGCATCGGTTTTTGCGAGATGCATCGGTTTTTCCAAGATAAAGCTTATATTTTTAATATAGAATTTATTTTTTATTTATTAGCAAGTGTTGTCAACCTGTTTTTGGCGCATTATTTAATCAACCTACATAAAGTATGCCTTAACAACGGACTTGCGGATGTGTACACTTACACTACAACTCAGTGTATCAGGTGTGCGGATGAAGCTAGTGGTGCGCCCTCAGAAAGCGCGAGAAGCAAAACAAACATTCTATTCCTCACTGAGTTTTAAATCCAAGTATGGCAACATTATGGATTTTTTAAAAAAGATGAATGACTTTTTAGGACAGATGCAATTTGCAAAATGTGCCGCGCATCTGTAAAATACACGGGCAGTACGACTAATCTGATATCTCACTTGAAGCGGCGCCTCGGTATTGTTGTGGAAGCATCTTCCAGTGTTCCTGCATCCCCGGCTTCCCGCTCTGCTTCAACTGTAGCTACCAGCTCCAAAAGTGGTGAGAAAAGCATTGAAAGTTTTCTCCATGCGCAACAGTTCTGCTCGCTCTACGCCAATAACGAATGCTATTGCATTGTTCATCTGCAAAGATATTCAGCCTAGTGTCACAGAGAACAAAGGTTTTAAACACCTCCTCTTGTTAATTTTTATTTATTTATATTTTTATTAGCCTGTTGTTTACAGTGACAGTGATGTTTCAAAGCAGCATAACACTGCTAGTTCACGACCTTAAGTTTTGAATATTCAGTGGCACAATATATCTTTGTAAAACTAGTTTTCATAGTTGAAAGGTTAAATCACAATTCTTGTTGTGCAATGGTAAACCTTTATGTTGAAAGAGTGCAAATATATATATATATATTTTTTTAATATATATTGCATTTATACATTCTGTTTATCTTGAAAATCCTTACATAATATGTGCTATAGGTTGTAAAATGACCCTCAACTGTAAACTGACACTCTGGCTCTGAGAGAAAAGCCAGTTTATAAAAAAAGTCTTGGTTTTGCTTTGTTAATAAATAATCAAACTCATTCAATGGCACAGCATCCTTTCTTACATCATCTCATAAAGTTGATCTAATTAGTTAGTGCTGAATTATAGCATTGTATCGTGATATGGGTGTGAATCGTATCGTGTTGCATCGCAATGTCACAAATGTATCGCTAATATATCGGATCGTATTCTTTGTATCGAGATGCGTATCGGATCGGCATTATAGCTTAGATGCCCAACCCTAGTGTGTATATATATATAAACATCGTGATGGACGATGACCGTCTTCGTAGGCAGCGGTCTACTAATTATTCTAATTAGTCTAATTATTATTTATTAATAAAAATTTATTTAATTCATAACAAATAAATTTTTTGTAGCCTACCGTTTCAACTTTCTGACCCACATGGTCTTTGTTTTACTCATAACCGAATCAAAAATAAATAAAGATAAGTTACACAGAAATTACCACCTGTCAATCACTTTTTCCATGAGACTCACGGAAATGGACATGAATAGGCAGAGTGATCTGAGTCATTATAATGGCGTCGACAAACTCGGTACTCGCATGAATGTGAAAGATTTGAAGCAGTGTACTAACGTTGTGAAACGTTACCTGATAGATTAAAAAGACTGAAGAGTCATTTGATAGAGGCAAGATAATTAAATATCACATTTAACAACTATAGAGTGTTTATGTGTGTGTGTGTGTGTGTGTGTGTGTGGTCATGTGATGTGCGTTTTTTTTTTTTTTTTTTAGTGGTTTAGTGTGGAAGGAGGGCTTTTCAGAAATGTTAGGTTAAACGTCAATGTGGATGTGGATCAATTTTGTTCTAAAATGGCCTTTTAAAACTAAATGTATTAGGGGAAATGGTGTATTTTTTGCGAACGGGTAACTGTGGCGGGCGGAGGATCGCGATGCTGGCTCAGCATCATGATGTGTATCGGCCATCAGCCAATCATAATAACATTTTCATATTTGATTACAGTAACTGCCCTCATAATACATCATGTTTTAGAGTCTTTTACAGCAGGAGTTTTCATGTATTTGTGATCAAATAAATACAGCACATGTCTCAGAACAAAATATTAATTGTTATTGTTGAAAGAAAGAAAGAAAATAGTTCTCAAAAGTTGCATTAGCCTAATTTGTTTAAGTTTATTTAATAAACTTCAGAAATCATTCATAATTTGACCTGATGCCATTTTCTCTCCATTTGTTCAGCTTTAATAGTTATTAGCTGCGAGTTCCCCTTAAATTTGATTAGTATGTTTCAGTCAGTGAAAGCTTGTAAGACAGCTGTCAAACAATTCACTAGAGGAAGCAATACTTTTGGGCTAATGAATATTCACTCTGCAGGAATACCTAGACATTAAATCATGCCTCAGAGGACTGCTCGCTCAAACAAATTAAATCATAATAATTACTTTCTCCTCT